TACCTGAGCAGTTAGCTGGTAATACGGTATAAGCTTTGGTCCCGCAAACCCAATGATGCCCTATGAAGGCCGGGAATGGTCGGTTGCACCCATTTGTCATATAGGTGCCTGCAAAGGAGGAGTAATATCCCCCAAAGGGCACACTGTGATTCTCCTTACGAGGAGTGGGGTTGTTAGCATGACATTGAAAGATTGTATTGTTCTCATTAGGGTTACCAAAGGGGGAACATGAGATTGAATTCTCTGTTTGATCCCAAGTTGAGGAGAAGGTCATGTCCCCCATACCCGGCTCGCCACTCTTTAGTTGTGTTCGAATAATCCCATACACCATTGGTTACAATACGCTGAAGACAACTGCTCCTCCCCTGCAGATACCTGTGATGTAGAATACAGGTGACAGTTACCTTCATCCAGCTTTGTAAAGTGCTCTGAGTCCTTTTCCCTCCACCACACTTATCCACTGAGATATATTTATTCCCACCGCTTCCCAAGTGTCATGACTATTCCATGTTTCGTTAAACGGACGAGGTCCTCCAGTGAGGTCTGGGGTGTTAAGTGGGATTGCCAGGACAGGAACACCAACTTGAGAGTGGGCTGGGATGTGGCTGCAGACCCAGCAATTAGAGATATTGAGAGTCTGAACTATCCACACTGGCTGTTGGATAAAAGAATTGTCATTGTGGATTCCTCAGACCTTAAGACACCAGCAACCGAGGAACAGGCGCCACCAGAGGCACATGTTGGAGGCAAGGCCCTTCTGGTTCTGACAACTTCAACTGAGGGAACCGCAGTCGCGGTTTTAGGTCCACCAGGCAGCAGGCGCTAGGCTCACTACTGCTTCTTCTTGGGCCTTGCTTTAGGTCATCGTCTGCTTCTGGCAACCCTTACGAGAGCGTAGGTTGTAAGGTATTGCAGGCTGTTCCTCTGCGTCTTCTTCTGGAGTCAAACTGACTCTGTGAGGTCCGAAGGTTGGTGGTTGATTTGCTGGGGCCGGTGCCTTCTTACACTGAGAGGCATGTATCCACGCTGCGATGCCAGATAGTTTGACCGCCGTCTGGGCAGTAAGCAGTACCTGATGAGGGCCCTTCCACTGGGGCTCCAAGGCGTGTTTTCCATGGTGGTACCGGACGTACACCCAGTCACCTGGCTCGAGGTTGTGGCAGGCATCAGAGGTGGGTTCTGCTAGCCAGGCGGCTCGGACCTGTGAATGGAAGTTGCTAACAGCCTGCATCTGTCCTTTGCAATACTGGAGGAGTGCACTGCAGGTCAAATTCAGGTCTGAGACTGGAGTAATGGCGGCCATAGTTCACATAGGGCGTCCCATAACTATGTCAAAGGGACTGAAATTATGCTTCTGGGATGGGGTGGATCGCATTTCCATAAGGGCCAGTGGTAAGGCTGCTAGCCGGCTTAATCCTGTAGAGTCACAAATTTTTGCAAGCTTATTCTTTATTACACCATTTCGTCTTTCAACTGCACCTGCGCTCCAAGGGTGGTAGGGACAGTGCAACAGGTGTGTGATCTGTAATACACGATCCAGGTGCTGAATAATTTGCCCGGTAAAATGTGTACCCTGTCACCGGACAGAGTGGCAGGAATTCCCTCGGCAGGCATAATAGGATTCAACAAACATCTGGCAATGGACAATGAGTCAGCCTCGCAACAAGGAAAGGCTTCAATCCAACCAGAAAAGAAACATCCCAGGACCAAAATAAATTCATATAATTGACACTGAGGCATTTGTACAAAATCAAGTTGCCAAGGCAAGAATGGTGCTTGGGGCAGACCCTGGAGCCCCTGAGCCACTTACAGGTTTACCAGTATTGTGGCTTTGGCAAGTGGCACAGGCTGCACAGTGACAGGCTGCAGAAGAGCTGAAATGAGGGGCCCACCATCCTGCCTTAGTTATAGCAGAGACCATCCCCTCCTTTCCGACATGCGAAGCACCGTGGAGCAGGGCAGTCAGGGACTGGTAGAGCGAAAAGGGGGCCGCAGAGAAGAAGGGACTTGAGAAAGCAGAGGTTCGAGAGATGGATTTAGTGGACAGAGAGGGGCTGGGGTTGAGAGGGAGGGTTCAGATAATAACAGAGAAGCAGAGAGTCAAACAGAGAGGACTGAGGAATTTGCAGATACACACCATCGGGAGAACAGCAGATGGTGCAGCTGAGCTTGCATAGTAAATCAGGACCCAACAGGTTAACGGGTAGAATCAGACAGCAGAAATGCATCATCAGCTGAGAGGGGGCTAACCTGAACAGGCAGGCTATGTCTACACTGGCATGATTTTCCGGAAATGCTTTTAACGGAAAAGTTTTCCGTTAAAAGCATTTTCAGAAAAGCGGACGCTTTCCCGCAAAAGCACTTTTCGCGGAAAAGCATCCATGCCAATCTAGATGCGCTTTTCTGCAAAAAAGCCCCGATCGCCATTTTCGCTATCGGGACTTTTTTTCAGAAAACAAATCTGAGCTGTCTACACTGGCCCTTTTGCACAAGCTTTGCGCAAAAGGACTTTTGCCCAAACGGGAGCAGCATAGTATTTCCGCAAGAACACTGATTTCTTACATGAGATCGTCAGTGTTCTTGCGGAAATTCACGTGGCCAGTGTAGACAGCTGGCAAGTTTTTCTGCAAAATCAGATGATTTTGTGGAAAAACTTGCCAGTCTAGACACAGCCGCAGAGGTTCAGAAAGGGGATAGGGAGTTGGAACCTCCAGAATAGCTACAGCAGATACAGTTTTTCCAGAATGGGGGACTGCAGGCAAATCGGCGGTACGGACGGCAGAAAAGGAGGCTCCCGTGTCGACAAGGAAAGGAAGTGAAAGGTCATTGACAGTCAGGACACATTCACTGGTAGGAGAAAGCGGTAACAAGGAAGCCAAAATTTCCTGAGGTTCCCCTAGATCCCGTCATTGCTGGGGAGCGAAGTATGGTTGGGGACCGGCGTGCGGCATGTAGCCTTGTTGATCGCTTATGAGGCCATTAGGGCAGCTTGGACACTCATTTTTCCAGTGTCCTGGTAGCTTACAATAATTATAGACACCTTCAAATCCCGAAAACCCAGTCCCACGGCCCCTTCCCTGACCTCATCCCCTTCCCTGGAAATCCCCGCGGCCCCTGTATTAACTTTTGAGAGGACTGTTCCGCTGGGCCGGATTGCCTGCCCCGCACCCCGGGGGGGGGGGGGGCGCCAGGCTCGCACATGCACCGTGCGCCCGGGGGCAGACCCGTGCATGCACCGTGCGCCCAGGCGGCACCACCCGCCCAGGGCACCAAAATGGCTTGGGCCAGCCCTGTATAGGACAAAGCGGTAACAAGGGAGCCAAAATTTCCTGAGGTTCCCCTAGATCCCGTCATTGCTGGGGAGTGAAGTATGGTTGGGGACCAGCGGGCGGCATGTAGCCTTGTTGATCGCTTACGGGGCCATTAGGTCGGCTCGGACACTCGTTTTTCCAGTGTCCGGGTAATTTACAATAATTACAAACACCTCCAAATCCCGAAAACCCAGTCCCACGGCCCCTTCCCCGACCCCGCCCCTTCCCTGGAAATCCCCGCGGCCCCAGTATTTCCCTCCCCTGCCAGCATAATGCTGTATCTGGAGGGCCGTTAACTTTTGGGAGGACTCTTCCTCCTTTCCTTTTAGAGTGCGGTGGCAGTGCTCTGCCACTGCTTGCAATTTGTCCATGGTCTCGGTCTCCCATCCAACATTTATTCGCTTTAGCATATTGCCAATAGCAGGTAGGAGGCCATTAACAAACGCATGCGCCAGGGCGCCCTGTCCATTTTCGCCCGGTCGCTGTATACCAGAATGTTGCAGAAAAACATCAGTCAGCCGGGTGCGATAGTCGTGCGGCCTTTCTCCCTGTCGCTGTTTACAGCAATGTATGGCCGTCCAGTTGGTTTTTGGGGTCCATACTTGGGGAATGGCCTCATGCAGGTGCTTAGCTAGATCCTTACATTTTTGCCGGTAGGCAGCATCGGGACCAGCATCTGGCAAATTAGAATGACGCTCAGCGGTGGGCCGATTTGCTGTTGTGAGCCATTTTTCGTGCTCGCTAGGGGTTACAAGTAGCTTACACAGTTGCAGAAGGTCTGCCTCAGAGGGTTCATAGGCGTTACACACTAGCAAAAATTCCTCTGCAAATTTGGTAGGGTTTTTCTGAGGCTTCGGAAAGCCTTTTACAATGGAGTGGAGCTCCGTGCGGGTCCAGGGTTTATAGCTCCAAGTGGGACCCCCTTCTTGGCCCCCACTATGCAAGATTCGAAGGGGAGCCGGGATATACTTAGAGCCAGAGCGCAAATGCTGAGCCCAATCGTTATCGGGGTTGTCTCCATGCAAAGTGGAGTCAGGCAAACTGGAAGGTTTTGGGGGAGCGACACCGGAGGAATGGGTCTGGGTGGTGCTGGATGATTTGGAGTGGCCTGAACTGGAGACCTCTGGAATTAGTCCCTGAGCCGAAGAGGTCGGTGGCCGTCCATTGATCTGACACAAGGCTGCCAAGCCAATTAATGCGTCTTCCTCATCGTCGTCACCAGAAATTAACAAGGGGTCTCTTTCATCCTCTTCCACAACGGGATGGGAGTATGGAGGGGGTCGGGACCGATCTGGGTCTTCTCGGAGGACGGAGAAAAGGGGAGCGCTCGGTCTGGTGGTGGGAGAGGAGGTTTCCAATAAAGCTTTTAATTTATCATTAGAATCTCTGAGAGAAGCGAGTTTCGATTCTGTCCACCTACGATTTGCCTCTTCCCACCACTGCATGAAACAATCGACCTCTCCTCTAGCCAATTTAGTTTTGGGTTGGCCGAGTTTGTCTCTTAAGACGTCTACTCGGTCTTTGTCCCAAGATCCTAATAGGGGCCGCTGCAATTTGGGATCCCCTAGGGTTAATCTAGACCATTTCTCCAGGAATTTACAGGAGTCCGGACCCTTTCTAAAACACATAAAATGAGCTGGCGTCCCTTCAGGGAATTTCCCCGACTTAGACGTTTGATTTCCCATGCAGGAGGACTTCACACACACCACTCACACAAGGAGGAAATTCGGGTTCATCAGAGCGGTGCCCGGTGCAAACACAACACACAAAAGAAGCCCCCAGGCTACTGCCTCAATCGCCCTTGCGTTCACTCCAAGGATTTTACCCAAGGTGCGGTGCGGCTGTGATTGTGCAGATTCCAGTCACACAGACCGCGGGGACAGGAGCCCCTTGGTCGGCCAGTCCCCGGACAGAGACGGCTCCCAGACTCACTCACACACCACAGGGAAGATGGATGGACACAGAGACAAGACAGTCCTCAGTCCGGACCAAATACCAGAGGTAATTACCTGACCAGATTTCAGATCCCGGGATTCAGAGACAAGACAGTCCTCAGTCCGGACCAAATACCAGAGGTAATTACCTGACCAGATTTCAGATCCCGGGATTCACCAGAACAGAGCGGGAACCAACAGGTTCGATGGCGTAGACTTCACTGCGGTCGCGCACTTTTCCATTCTGGCAGAGGACCGTTCGGGCCAAACGCCCGGGTGCCGGCTACCACGGTCGTCCTGCAAGATGGTCAGGAATCACACGGTGTCAGCGAAGACGGTTGCCATCTCAGTGGGATCTCCAAATTGTCCAAGTTAGACTCAGGACTCACAATCTCGTTGGTCACTCTGTTTTATTAGCAAAGCGCTTGGCTAATACAACCAGAAGAGTGAGCCCCCACAGAAACCCAAGTCACCTTATTTATACTGATAAAAGAGGAGAGCAGACAAAGGATTGAGAAAGGGCCTGAACTGACAAGGTTACCTGGGGTCAGTCAAGTATCTCATTTCCTTATTAACTCTCACCAATCTCCTGTTAATGCCCCACTATCACCCTTCAGTGGAACCATTGTCCTCTGCCTTAACATCCTCCTTCCCGCTTACACACAAACGACTTGACGGGAACATCTCTCTTCCTGCTAAAGGAAGGAACATTTCTCTAATTCATTCGACTTTTACAATATAATTCAATCTATTTTCACACTATGTAGGTTGGACATTAGGAAAAATGTTTTAACTGCCTGGGAGGTTAAGCACTGAAAAAAATTGCCCAGGAAGGTTGTTGAATCTCTATCATCGGTGGGTTTTTAAGAACATGTTAGACAAACACTTGCCAGACATGGTCTCATATTTAGTCCTGCTAGGAGTGCAGGGAATAGCATAGACCTCTCGAGGTCCCTTCCAGTCTTATGATCCTATAACCGTGGTCCCCAACACGGTGCCCCCGGGCACCATGGCGCCCTCGGGGGCATTTCCATGCGCCCGCCTGGTGCTCGGGGCTGGCCTGGCCCCGGGCGCATGGCAGGGGGAGCGCCGGCCCCGGGCGCGCGGCGCTGGGCGGGGGGAGTGCCGGCCCCGGGCATGCAGTTATGGGGGGGGCCGCCCCCGGGGCGCAAGTGTCCCCCCCCGGCACCCGGCGGGCAAACAGCCACGCCCCCTGGCGCCCGACAACCTCGAAAGGTGGCGCCGGCCCCAGGCGCGCGGCCCTTGGAGGGGGCACCGGCCCTGGGCGTGTGGCTATGGGGGGGCCCCGCCCCTGGGCATGCAGCTATGGGGGGGCCTGCCCCCGGGCATGCAGCTATGGGGGGCCCCACCCCGGGCGCGCAAGTGTCCCCGCCCCCTGGCGCCCGGCGGGCGAACGGCCACGCCCCCTGGAGCCCAACAACCTCAAAAGGTTGGGGACCACTGTCCTATAACATTCGTAGCCTTCCATCCTGCCTGCTGTTCGTTACAGCTGTCGTTCACCCAGCAGCATGTGAACCGCAGGGGCAATCGGATTCATGGTTTGATTGCAGAAGCAACGTGATCCATTTTATTCCAAACGCCACGGACAGAGCAAATGGGACAAAATGTTTTGACACCAGGACAGCGGCTTGAGGTCCAAGCCAAGGTCCGGTTCCCATGGCCCTGACTCTGTGGGTCACTGATGATGTGGGGGATTCAGAGTGCAGCACGTCCAAGTTGCTCCATCACAGATCTGGGCACCTTGGCTTTCTTCCTCACTTGTACTGTGTCTTGGGGGAAATATCAGGTTCCCCTTCACCCTTCACCCTCTGCCATGTTTAAACTCAACCGGTGAGCGTGGCTGCCCCACTTGCTCCGTGTCAATGGGGCTGCTGTACAAACCCAGAACAAAGAGACCGTCCCTGCCCAAAGAGTTTACACTGTAAATGGATCGGTTCTGGTGCTCCCAGAAGCCCCTGGATCTCCTGCCCAGTCCCAGGCAAGTAGATGTGATCCCAGGCTGCGGCAGCAGGCACCAAACATGGGGTCGCTGTGTTTGAGCCCTGCCCCAAGCTGTGGTTTCTGCAGGGGTGGGGTGGACCTGCAAAAGAGAGTGAACAAAACCTGGCCTTATTAAGGATGTGTCTCCAGGCGACAAACCCCACAAAGGCAACTTCGTGGAAAGTTTTCATACAAAGGAAGTTGCTATGAAGTCTTAATACCAACCTATCGCGCTGGTCAACAGGATCTCACTGGTTCCTTGTTCTCTCGGTCTGGCTGTACCCAGAGTGGCAGGGTAACCCCACTCTTGGGCCCCAGTAACCTGCTCAGTCCTTCATCAGGCAGCCTCCGTCCTGGGCTATTAGCCTTTGGCAGGGTGTAAGCTTTGATCCCTCAGCTACAAGGAGCATTGGGGCCAGTGCCCCAGGGTCAACCTGGGCTGCCTCAGTCCTTTCCAGCTCTCAGCTGGGCTCTCAGGCTGCCAGGAAAAGGAGGGCCCCAAATCCCTCTTTGGAGCACTCCATTCCCCCCACCCCGGCTGCTTTTTTTTTTTCCTGTCTCTAGCAATGTTGTCTCTACCTTTCTTAGTCTGCTCTGATCTCAGTCTCCCTCCTGTGCCAGGAGGGCTTCCTTTTAAAAGGCTCCATGGCAGCCTCAGGTGAGATCAGCTGTCTCTGATTGATTTATACTACAGCATCCCTATCTCCTTTGCTCCTGATTGACCAGGGCTGTTGCTGCCTTTCTGTTTATCTAGTGTAGTCCTCCAGCCTGACACTGTCACACCAGCTGTTGTATCTTACATATTGGCTGCATCTAGCCTGGCATGATTTTCCGGAAATGCTTTTAACGGAAAAGTTTTCCGTTAAAAGCATTTTCGGAACAGAGCGTCTAGATTGGCACGAAGCAAAATGCAGGACAATGTAGCACTTTAAAGACTAACAAGATGGTTTATTAGATGATGAGCTTTCGTGGGCCAGACCCACTTCCTCAGATCAAAAAAAAAATCACTTTTTGCGGAAAAGCATTTGTGCCGATCTAGACGCGCTTTTCTGCAAAAAAGTCCCAATCGCCATTTTTGCCATTGGGGCTTTTTTTGCGGAAAACAAATCTGAGCTGTCTACACGGGCCCTTTGGAGCAAAAGCTTTGCGCAAAAGGGACTTTTGCCCGAACGGGAGCAGCATAGTATTTCTGCAAGAAGCACTGATTTCAGACAGTAGGAAGTCAGTGCTTTTGCGGAAATTCAAGTGGCCAGTGTAGACAGCTGGCAAGTTTTTCCGGAAAAGCGGCTGATTTTCCGGAAAAACTGGGCAAGCTAGACACACAGCACTTGGGGGCGAGAGGAGGAAGGGGTAGAAACTGTCTTTTTGTTGGTTGTACTGTGCCTAGCACCGTGAGTTCTGGTCCATGTCTGGGGCTCCTAGGCCACAGGACAATACACATGGTAGCTGATGAGCTGAAGCAGGTGCATGCCAAACACAGCAGAAGATATTGAGGGGCCGGTGAAACTGACGAGTGCAGAGTGGGGATAAGCAGGCTACACAAGGCAGCCAACAGTAGCCTGGTGAAATGGACGCTAGCTGGACTGGGCTTTCAGTGGCTTCTGGCTAGACCGGGAGGGTGGTCCCGATCCTTGTCCATGTAGATCAGACCTGGCAGAGGATTCCAATGCACAAACTGGCCCCGTCCTACCATGATTTTTAAGTGTCTGGGATCACTGTGGTACCAAAGGGCTGGACCAGCGTAGGGAGGCCAAGGCCCCCATGCATATCTAGGGGACCCTGGGACATGGAGCCAAGATGATGGGGATAAGGGTGCCATGCACACAAGCGTGGCCTGGACCAGCTTGATCTCCAGACTGGAAACTGTGAATGAGGGTTGGGGTCTGATCCTGGTAGTGGCAGAATAGCCCAAGATCCCAAAGTGCGGGAAGGGGAGGGGCTGGATCACCCATGCACCCAGCCCAGGAGCCTGGAGATGCCTCCCCACGGCCGGACGGCACTCGACACTTCCCAGCTGTGGGAGCAGTCATGCAGAAGCATGCAGGGAGCTGGCAGTGGCCAGCAGGAGCTAGGGAGAGCTCTACCCTAGGGAGGTGGTTTATGGTACCACCCTGGAGAAAGTCTGGGGTGTCCCCCAGGTTGGGCCAGGCCGATGGGGCAAACAACACTAGTCGGGGTGGGGGGGATTAGAGCATCTTGGGGCAATGGGGAGACCAGGGGGGCAGGGGCTTGACCCCCTTAGTTCTGCAAGGGGAGAGTGTGGAGTGCATTAGGGTGGGGCCTACTCATCCCCATTGGGTGGGACATGGATGGAGGGAGATCCCACTAGTGGAGCATGCAGGGAGACCTTGCTCCCGGGGGTTATGGGGGCAGCAGAGCAGAACACACCCGTCGGTGGGGGTGTCCAGAGCCAGGTCTCCCCCTCCACTGGGGACTGTGGCGGGAGGAGGCCTCCTGGCTCTAATGTGTGAAAGGGGAAGGGCGGGACCAGACCTCTGCTGGGGGCCGCTGCATGTGGCGCGCGGCTGGTAGCCCTGTAACCCCCCTGCCATGGGCTTTGCTGGGGTGCAGCCAGGGACTGGGGTTGCTGCTGAGACTTTTGTCTCGCCAGCCTGGGCTCCCTCTCACGCTGCGATGCTGAGACAAGCGACAGGCGACTGCCGGGCCTGCACCCGCCAGACGTTCACCTAGGCAGAGACACACCCAGCGGAGAGAGGAGCCAGGTCACGATTCTAAGGGGCGGGAGAAGGGAGAAGAGCAAAGTAGAGACACTGGATTTCAGAACGGCAGAGGTCAGTAACCTCGGAGAGCTGGCGGGTGACGTGCCGTGGGGCGCAAGGCTCAGAGGAACAATTGAAGAGAGTTGGCAGTTTTCAAAGGGACATTATTAAGGGCCCAAGCATGGGTGGTCAGGGAAGGCAGGGCTGGGGGAGGCAAGCCCCCAGCCCCACCTCCAGCCCCACCCCTTCTGCTAGGCCCACCCTTTCCCCCCATCCCCAGGAGGTGGGGCAGCGCCCCACGTACCTGCTCCCTCCTTCCAACCACAGGGAGGGAGGGAGCACTTACCGCAGCCTCCCCAGCCCCCGCGGAAGGCGCACCACACCAAGCAGCCTGGCCCAGCCCAGCCCCTGAGTACCAAGGAGGGCGGGCGCGAGGGGCAGCAACACTCCGCCCCCAGAATGCCTACAGTGGGTGCTCTGGGGGCGGAGTGTGGGCGGGGCTATGCCTGGCGGTGGGAGAAGGCGGAGCCATCCCCCACCTTACATCCCTGACGCTCATGGGCCCAAGAGCAAACGACCCCACTGGGTGGGAGAGACAGGAAGCCTGGCAAGAGACCACCTAGGTTCAACCAGGAGAGCTGACACGAGACAGTCTCCCCAAAAGCTTTTGTGGCCCTTTGCCCCTCAGGCCTGTGCGCACCCTGCTTAATGCTGCTTCTTGGGGCACGCTCCTGCTGTCGTGAGCTCTCCTGGCCCCTGGCAAGCAGGGGGTCGGCACAGAGGGGATGTTCTCGCATCGTCTGTGCAGGAACAGCCGGCCAGACTCCGCCGGGGGCTGGAACAACACACCGCAGGTCCAGATTTGCCAAAGCCCCGTCTCCTTCCCCCTCACCGGCTCACTGATCTTCCAGCTCCCACGACCTTCTCCCCTCCCTCCCCAGTTCCCGCAGATACTCTTGGCTGCTCCAGCCTGTCAGGAGCCGGAAGCCTCCCGGCTTAATCCCCCGGCTCCCTCCTTTCCTGAGGGCTGTTCTGCATAAACACTGCTGGCTGCTGCTGAGCTATCTGCGGCTGGGGGGGGTGTTTCGAGTCGCGGGGCTGCTGCCTCCCAGCCGCAGGGATGTGCAAAGAGTGACGCAGCCCAGACCGGGATGGGGAAACTTGGGGGGTCCCTACACCGCCTTTGGCAGTGCAGGAAGAATCCCGGGTCAGAACCAGAAGCTCATAGCATCTGCCCCCCTCCATTCCGCTGCCCTGGGTTTACCAGGCGGAAGACCAGCAGCGTTTCCCATAAACCCCAGCAATGTCCCAAAGCCCTGTTACGGGCAGAGGAGGTGAGGCCAAGCCTGCAGACAGCTTGGCCGGAGGAGGGGTGAGGGTGTCTGAGACAGAGGCACTGGTGCTGTGTGGGGTTCCTCATGTTGCCAGCTCTTGTTTGGTAACCTGGAGAACACAAGCCTTGCTTCCGAGGTCAGTCTCCTCTAGCCTGGGAATTTGGGGAAGTGACCCCGTCTGATCAGCCCCAGGTGCCTCTCGGCCCCAGGGCCCCCTGGTTAGATGTGCACATACGATTTGACGCCCGTTTCCTTGCAGGGGACAGCACGGCTGGCAGAGGGGGGAGCTGAGCTCTGTTACTCCTCGGGCAGTGTTGGCGCAGCTGTTTGCTAAGTTCTGGTCAGTTACACTTGAGAGCAATGGGCGAGGCACCGGAGTGGGGGAAAGCAGACCATGGCCGAAGGAGCTTTGTCCCAGCTTGACTGAGAGTCTGACTCCAGGGTGACTTTGTGGGGGAAATCAACGTTGCAAACGGAGCATCCTTCTGTCTGTCACGTGCACCTGCAGCATCTTGTCTGAAGCCGAGCCCTGATCCTGGAGTTTGCCCACGCCGGTGACTTCCGAGAGGTTCTGTGTGGCCCCCACAACTCACGTGCCCAGTTTTTAGTGCAGGGTCAGGCCCCCACATTGCTGGCTCATTGGTGTAGTTTGTACCATGCACCGTACGATGCGGTCCCAGTCCTGATCCAGGCCCCGCAGTTACGCAAGTGGCTGAACTGAGGCCAGTGAAAATCAACTGTCTTGCCCTTTTCGTCGGCATGTTGCATGGCACATAGATTTCCCCGAAGCCTGGACTGCATCTTAAAAGAGAGCAACCTAGCTACGTCGCTCAGGGCTGGGAAACATGTTGCTCCTCAAGGGGGCTGACCTAACTCCTCAGTCGGCCTCGTTACCCCTCTTGGAGGGGTGGGTGAACTGCAGCAACAGAGAAACCCCTTCCAGAGATGTAGGAAGCATGGAGGCTGCGCAGCTGTAGTGTAGACGGGGCTTTTCCCTGCCTCATGTGTCTGCTCATCTGAGTTCTAGCCTGGCTGCCCTTATTGACTTTCAGTTGGACTCAGCTGGAGGCTCACCCCTTGTGACGGCGTGTTGGGGAGCCCCCCGACCCTGCACCCCCATCCGCAGCCAGATGTGACTCCGCCAGCCAGTAGAATATGGAAGGTTTATTGGTTCTCGGAGATACAGTGAAGCACAGGTGCGATGTGGACATAGGAGTTGGGGCAGGCAGCCTTAGACCCCTTGGGGCCGGGGTACACAGGCCCCTGAACCCCCAGCACTCAGCTTAGTCTGTTCTCCCCATGTTTGCCCAGCCAAAAACTGTCCAGGTCCCAGGCCCTGCCCCCAGCCAGGTGGCCTTCTCCTCCTCCCTCCCTTTGTCTTTCCTCCTGGGAAGAGCCTTGTTAACAGCTCAGGCTGCGACTAGGTGTCTGGGCCAATCCACACGTGGGTGAGTCGGTGAAAATCAAACCTCACAGCACAGCCAGGTAGGGACACCCCGTTACAGAGCAGACAGCCCCCCACTACATCACACCCCTGCCTTTCATGGTGGAAGGATGGGACTCTGGGGAGAAAATCCAGTGGCTTTGTTGGATCAGCCACATCCCTCAGATGGGTCAGCTGTTCTGGTGAGATTTCCATCCTCTTGGACTGTCAGCCAGTTGGATCTAGAAATCAGCCGTTTTCTGCCCTGAGATCTGATTTGGGACCAAAGCAACCAGCCAGGCTGTCATTGGATTTGGGGGTTTCAGTGTCTATTTCTCCCAGGAAATCCCAGGTGTGTGAGATCTGAGCATTCAGCTCAGGAGGACCTAGTCTGGCTGTCATAGGTATTTGTAAAGGGAACCGATATGCAGGTGGTTCACTGCTAATTGTGTCCTAAAAGGGTGATGCTAGTGCAGCCAGACGGACCAGCTGGATTTCTGGGCTTAGCTGCAGCTGTTAATTTGCTCCTCATTCATTCTCCATGCCGGGGCTGATTTTAAGATGAAAATACTTTTACCTTTGGGAAGGAGTCACTGGCTTCTTCCGACCTTTTTTCTATTTAAGGCCTTCCATTTTTACTCAGTTATACCAAATTCGGGACCACTTAACACAAAAATAGGGTATTTCTACACTGCAGAGTTTTGTTGGAAAAACGGCCATTTTTCCGACAAAACCTGGGTTACGTCCACACTGAAGTTGCATTCTTCCGAAAGTAAATTGAAAGAACAGAGGGTTATCCCGGTGTTGGGAATTCTCTTTCTACGAGGAAGAAGCCTTTTTCCGAAAGAGTTCTTTCGCAACAAGAGGAAAGAGGAAAAAGCACAGGTGCCCTGGTAGCCATTCCATCCACAGTAATCACAGTTTAAATGCGAGAGACGCTATCCTTCCATGTGGACGCTCTCTTTCGAAAAAGCCCATCGCTTTTTTGATGCGCTTTGGCAGTGTGGACGCTCTCTTTCAGAAGAAGTTTTTTCAGAAGATCTCTTCCGGAAAAGCTTCATCCGAAAGAAGCCTGCAGTCTAGACATAGCCATAGACTGAAGTATTAAACTGCTTTTGCTTTCAATACTCTTACTTTTTTCTATTAGTTCCTTTTTTACCTCTTCCCATAGTAACTCTGATCTTTACCCTGAAAAAAGTTACGTTAATTTTTTGCACTGATTTTCACCTGTTGTAATAATTGCTGATAAATTACCAGAAAGGTTTAGCAAAGTAAAAACTGAAATCAAAGAGCCTCTGCGTAAGCCCCATCCAGGTCGGAAAAGGCGGGATTCTACCGCATTGGCGTTTGCACACGTTTGTGTGCAAATGGAGGTTTGAAGTTGTCATAGTGATGGTTGCTTGGGGGTTGGGTGAAGCATCATTCATATTTTCCTCCTGCATTGGCTTGATCCCCCTCCTCCCATCCAAAGCCATGCTACTCTCGGGTCCTAGTGCACGCTGCTTTGCTTTCGGATTATATCACACCAAAGATGTCTCCTAGAGCAGCGATGGGCAACGTAGGCTAGTGAGTGGCCCACAGGAGTGGTCCTATTTCATCTCTGGCTAGGTCTACGCTAGAGCCTTTTTTGGGAAAAAGCTACGTAAATTGCACTCTGCAATTTGTGTCGCTTTTTCCGATTGCTTTCCTGGAAGAGGCTTTTCCGCCATTTGGCCCTGTCGAGGCTCTTTCGGAGGAGCCCTTATTCCTTGTAGAACGAGGTAGACAGGGCTCCCCGAAAAAGCATGTTTGCTCTTCCACAAAAAAAAGTGGAAGAGCAAACGTGCTCCCTGGCCATGGCGGAGTTTTTTTGGGATACCTCTGGGTCTAGACATACCCTCTGTGGAGTCAAGACATACCCTGTGGCTAGGTCTAGACTGGCATGATTTTCTGCAAATGCTTTTAATGGAAAAGTTTTTCCGTTAAAAGCATTTGCGGAAAAGAGCGTCTAGATTGGCACGAACGCTTTTGCGCAAAAGCACTTTTTGTGGAAAAGCATCTGTGACCATCTAGACGTGGTTTTGCGCAAGAAATCCCCGATCGCCATTGTTGCCATCGGGGCTTTTTTGCTCAAAACACTGTTTAGCTGTCCACACTGGCCCTCTTGTGCAAATACATTTGCGCAAGAGGGCTTTTTCCTGAACGGGAGTAGCATAGTATGTGTGCAAGAACACTGACAATCTTACATTAGATCGTCAGTGTTCTTGCGCAAATTCAAGCAGCCAGTGTAGACAGCTGGCAAGTTTTTCCGCAAAACTTGCCAGTCTAGACGCAGCCTCTCTGAGCCACAAGCTTGTCGTAACCAAGATGGTCTCCCGGCACAAGGTAGTTTTGCTCCCTGCGCTTGCGTGCCTAGAATTTGAGAGGAGTGCCAGTTGAACCGTTGCAGCGCTTTGATTAGATGCAGACGCACGTCTCAGAAAGTCAATGTTGTGTGCAATTAGCACGCACCGTCCTTCACGCGCCCTGGCTTTGAGTCAGGGCTGGGGCACCTTTTTTGGGTCAGGGGCCGCTGACCCAGAGAGAAATCAGTCCCAAGTGAGAAGTGAAAAAGAAACCGAACCAAACCCTCGCTGACGTGGCCCCTGACTGAGGAGGAGAAAGACCCTCCCCACTTTCCCCTCGCATACCAGAGCCACGGGGGGCCCAGGCGAGTAGATGTTGTGTGCTCCAACCCCATGGGGGGGCAGTGGGGAGGCTGGAGCCCTAGCGCAGGCTCCCCAGTGCCGTGGGGGGGAGCTCTGAGCCTCGGGGGCCAGATCCAGGCAAGTTGGGGGCTGCATTCAGCCCCTGGACCTTAGGTTCCCCACCCCCGCTTTAAGTGCGTGTCACTTTAATAATACTGGTAAGAAAAAAACCACGTGGACGGAAACCTGCAAAACGTGGTAACCCTGTGCGAGGGCAACAGTAAACAGAACGTCTCGTGGGCCTCACGTAGAACCCCGATGGGCTGCGGATTGCCCACCACCGTCCTTGAGCCTTGTCCGCCACAGGGCCGGTTAGCTGAGGCAGTGGTGAGAACACCAGCGGCTGGCCCACATAAGGGTTTGGTTCACACTGTCACTAGCACCAGCAGATCCGCACGAGCGCTAGGACAACAGCTGGAGATTCTTCTAAATGCACTAGTGCAAGCGAGCCAGTGGTGAGCCCAGAAGGACTGTGTGAATGCCCTGTCCTTGGGGGCGTCCACACAGCCCCCCGAGGCGGGAGCACAGTCACCCGGAGAGTGGATAGAGAAATCTGAAGATGCGGCGGCATGGTCTTCAGTGTGGCCTGTGCAAACCCACCTGGAGTCTTATGGAGCTGCTCCAGGGGATGACCCGTGCCAGGGTCCGTGCCACTGTGTCTTCACTGCTGACTGTAGTCGTGTCAGTCCGATTAGGGCTACTGGGTAAGTCTAGCTGAGCTCACACAGCCAGTTGCGGTGCTGACGATACCCGTCCACGCACAATACCCTGGGAGGCAAGGGAAGTTGCAGTGTAACCTGACCGGCCCAGTCGAATGGCCTTTTCATGCCCATCCCTAGCTTCCCATTGCAGAGAATTTCAATCGCTGTAAATCCTACAGCCCATCCCTCTGGCTTCTCGGGAGACCAAGGCGCTCAGCTGAAGCTGCCTCTATTCCAGACCACACGTAGAGGGTAGAACAGAGACAAGGGGACAGGTTCTCTGAGCTCCATTTCCAGCTTCTCCCACCAGCTTTGCGGGGTGCCCTTGGACGAGTCACTTTTAATCTTTCCATGCCTCGGTTTCCCCATTTGTAGAATGGGTTTTATACAATCCGCCTGCTGGAGGTGCTGGGTGGCTTCATTGCTGTGTGGAAAGTGCCGTGAGCTCTTCCTGGGTGAAAGGCTCCAGAGAAGGGCAAACTGTTCATTAGATTCCCCTTTCCCCCTTCATAGCCGCAGGTATGGAGAGGGGATGGGCTATTTAAAGCATTTGAGAGTACTGCATAATGGGATTACAGCAAAATTCCCAGAGTTGGCAGGATTCTGGGCTTTCTATCAGGGTGATTTCTCCAGACCTTTCCTGGAGGCTTAATTTGTCACCTCACCCTTTGACTAGTAGGTGTCTTCTGACAACGTCAATCTCTGTCCCCTGCTACCTTTCAGGCCTATGCTGTCTGTGGGCTCTCCAGATGCTGTGAGGGATGGCAGCTCTTCACTTCTCTACTCCCTGCCCAGCCTTTTGGCATTTGTGATTTCCATTTCTCTACCTTTCCCCTGCAAACCTGGTGCTTTTTTTGGGGGTGGGGATGGGAGGGAGATATGGGCCTTTCTGAGCCACTTCAGTGACTGCCTCTGCTGCTACTGTAAGTTTTTTCCTCATCACCAGCATCAAGTAGCTGTGATTGTTCCAAAGCTGCTCACTCTGAACAGCTTTCACTTAGGCTGTGTCTAGACTGGCCAGTTTTTCCGGAAAATCAGCCGCTTTTCCAGAAAAACTTGCCAGCTGTCTACACTGGCCGCTTGAATTTCCGCAAAAGCACTGACTTCCTACTGTAAGAAATCAGTGCTTCTTGTGGAAATCCTATGCTGCTCCCGTTCAGGCAAAAGTCCCTTTTGTGCAAAAGGGCCAGTGTAGACAGCTGAGATTTGTTTTCCGCAAAAAAGCCCCGATTGCGAAAATGGCGATCGGGGCTTTTTTGCGGTAAAGCGCGTCTAGATTGGCACGAACGTTTTTCTGCAAAAAGTGCTTTTGTGGAAAAGCGTCCGTGCCAATCCAGACGCTCTGTTCCCAAAATGCTTTTAACGGAAAACTTTTCCGTTAAAAGCATTTCCGGAAAATCATGCCAGTCTAGACGCAGCCTTAGGGTGTGTGTATGCTGGAAGGAGGGGACAAAAGGTGTTTTCTTAAGTTAACAGGGGCTAACATCTAAGGGAAGCCAAGACAGTTATAGTTTCAACATGTTAGGGGTTTAGAACATAAGAACGGCCATAGGTCTATCTAGCCTAGTAACCTGTTTGCCAACAGTGGCTAATACTAGATGTCCCAGAGGGAGGGAACACAACAGGGAATCATCACATGATGCCTCCTCTCCTGTCATCCATCTCCAGACAAACAGGCTAGGGACACCATTCCTACCCATCCTGGCTAATAGACACTGATGGATCTATCCTCCATGAACGTATCTAGTTCTTTTTTGAACCCTGTTAAAGTCCTAGTCTTCACCGCATCCTCTGGCAAGGAGTTCCACAAGTTGACTGTGCACTGAGTGAAGAAAAACTTCCTTTTGTTTGGTTGACTTAAAGTCTACAAAAACCCAGGTGGGCAATCTTATCCTGTGATTGCCTTGAGCCCTGGCACATGAGGCTGAATATCTCCCTGCAAGTTTTCCTTGCCTGTAATGGTAACTGCGAATTCTTGATCCCCAGGAGATTTAAAGAAAGTTTAGCTTGATAGCTGTCTGCCTGGCCTACTTACCAATAGCTGAGGGGGCGGGGGCGCAAAATCCTCATTTCTTTATTGCTGTTATTATGCTCCCCATTTCTATTGTTTATCTGTATGGTCTGACTCTAGTTCCTTGATTGTTCCTGTCTCCACATAATTAATGAGGCTGGGTGTAAACCAATTAGATAGAACTGATGAATCATGTTACAACACAAGTATCAGAGGGGTAGCCTGTTAGTCTGAATCTGCATAAACAACAAGAAGTCCGGTGGCACCTTATAGACTAACAGATTTACTGGAACAAAAGGAAAAACTATGCAGCACTTTAAAGACTAACAAGATGGTTTAAAAGGTGATGAGCTTTTGTGGGCCAGACCCACGTCCTCAGATGCTCCTGACAAAGTGGATCTTTGCCCACAAAAGCTTATGCGTCTATAAATCTGTTAGTCTATACCAGTGTTTCCCAAATGGTGTTCCAGGGAACCCTGGGGTTCCGCAAAGTGAAAATAGGGGTTCCGCAAGAAAATTCCATTACAACAACATGTTGTTATTAAAAAAATAATTAATATTAAGCATTTATGAATGTTATTGAAAACAATTTTCATTTGTGTCGATCTCATGACCTTGTTTAGCATTTGTTTATTATTATCCTTACTTATTTGTGCTCTGCTTTTCAGCTCCATATATAAGACTGTTATTGGGGGTTCCACCACATTCTTTTGAGTTTAAATGGGTTCCCTGGCCAAATAAAATTGGGAAACACTGGTCTATCCGGTGCCGGTCTATCCGGTGCCACAGGACTTTTCGTTGTTTACGTTACAGTACATTAGGGTTGGTTAGTGACATTTCAGTAGACTGATGGGTTAAGGCACGACTACTATCAGTATGAGGTTCAGAGGGGGAGTCGAATTCCTCTGTAACAGGAAAAACTTAAACCACCACCAGTCTAGCAGCTCCTTAAAGACTAACACAACATGTAGCTGGGATCCTGAGCTTTCGTGGGCACAACCCACTTCGTCAGATGACCGGCCAAACAGGGGCTGCCATTGGGGACAAACAGGAAGGGGCTGGAGAAAAGGGACGAAAGGAAGGAAGCTGGATCCAACCCCCGTGCACATGGAGTCGCCTTGGGCCACTGTTCCCGGTGCAGGAGGAGCCCTGGGCCAGCCCGTGTAAACATCCTTTCTCCTGCGGCTTTTGGGCGCCTGTCGCTGTCCCCCGCTCCGGCTCCTTGCTGCGGCCAAGCCCCCAGCTCTGAGCCCGGAGCAGGGGAGGATGTGGATGAATGAAATCCCCAGGAAGGGGCGGGATTCCCAGGCTGGCTCCCCCCCAAGGGCCGCCTGCCCTGCCCGCCTATTGGCCGCAGCGCGGGGGAGGTTTTAATCCGAATCCAGGCGCTGCCCGGGGGAAGCGGCCCGGGCGCTCCAGAGCGGCCGCCCGGGACCAGTCAGCCCCGCGGGGGGAGGCGCTGGCTCTAGCCGAGCGGGGATGGGGGCGCCCTGGCCGGCTGAGCGCTCCTAGCTGGCTGCCCTGGGCCGGCTGGTGGGGGGGTCCCGGGGACCCCCATGAGCGCCCCCGAGCGCGCGGCGGGGGCCG